TCCGATTGAGAATCGGCGTGAATCGTGACACTCAACCACCTTTCACCTCGGAGCACGCACACAGCATCGCTCCACCGTGACCGCAGTCACCCAAGGACATAAAGTCCGCAGGCTTCGTCAACTAATGAATCCAGCCTCGCGAGCCTGGCTCGCATATGCACCGTCTTGGCGCCAAGTTTTGTGCACACGCACGAGGTTCTCCCACCGTCTCCAGAACCCACCCACTGGCTCTGTACACTCTGTTATATAGGCGAGGCTCACGTGACCTACTACGTCACGCCACCCCCTCGCTTGTTATAACAGTGAAAAGTTTCTATAGGCCGGATACTCCCAAAGCCTTGTGTCTCCCGTTTCCGCGTTCTTCCCTTTACGGAAAAACCCTTCATCCTGTGGCAAGGCTAATCTTCTGCCAAGCGTCCCCAAATAGATGCCACGAGGCACGCTGGCTAATACGTTACAATATTATATAGTAGTCTACCACTAATATATAGTGGACACAACAAGGCTATCGATTTTTTATCAAGTACTGAACGTAAAATAGGTGAAATACGTACGTATGGATAGGTGAAAGGAAGTTATCTTCCACAAAAAAAATTGTGGTAGATAACTTTTTACCTATCTGTATAGATTTCCAAAATATTTCTTTGGTAAGCACCGAGTTTATTCCGGTTTCTCCCAGAACAAAATTTAATAATAAAAAATTACAATAGTTTTTGAGAAAACTTTGGAAATGTAATTGAAGCTTCATATAAAGTGCCCTCAAAATCAAAATACCCGTTCCAAACATGCAGGGCCCCGAGTTCCTTTAAATCAATCGGGGTATATCAATTTTGGAGAAAATCGTCCGAACGGTTTAGGGCGCTAGCATTGACCAGACAGACAGCCACAGCTTTGCCCTCATCGCCTATTCGGTATCACCGACTCACAAAACAAGGATCCTGACTACAGAATGTGTTAGAGGAAGAAATTTACTACACATTGGAACAAGATTCGTCTCCCTTTTCGTTACCAGGTCTCGGCAATAAAAGTTTTTCATTTGAAAAATCGCAGTTTTTCGCTGCATCATTACATAGCTTGCTCTGTACTGCGTAACCAGTATGCGAGATAGTAAAAGGGTAAGAAAATGAGACGTTTTATGCAAACTAAAAGCCAATTAAATTATTAGCTTAAATGAAGAATACACAAGATTCGTGTTATCTTATTTATCGATTTACTCGTGTTATCTTATTCTAATTCATTACAGTTTTGTAGTCATCACTCTGAGTGAAGGTGCCATTATCCTTTGATTTGCCAAATCCGTAAAATCGGTCTAAAGCCGTCCTCCTGGCCGAGTGGTTGTGTGCACCGGATATCTCTCTTTTTTTTATTATTCTTTAATATTTGAGGTTGTTACTGTCCCTTTTAGAGCTTTGTGCAAACGTACGGCAACGTTTAGGTGGAAAAAGATTGTGAAAACTCTCTGGTCCCGCTGAAGAAATCAGTCGTAATTTCATAATTTGAGATCACCGAAACCTCTACTCTCATTGTATGAAAATCCTGTTGATGTTGGCGACTCTCACTTAAATGCCTGAATGTGGTTACAATAGGAAAATACTAATAAAACTGCACACAAATCAAGCAAGTGCAGATGAAATACGTGAAAGCCTAATTCTAGCCATAAAGACGTGGAATTGAATGTTGATGGATAAAAAACGAGCCTTTAAACATTTATTGCTTCTATTCGAACTCTTAATGCATTGTACTTCCTCGACATCTGTAAACCATAATAAGACCAGAGGAGCCACTATGTATATTAAAAAACCATCGATCAGCCAGGAAAAATTTAAAACAACATTACAATATCGGAATATTAATACGTAGCCTTCGAATAATTTTACATCTATGTTAACGTCCGCAATGCAATGAAAATACTTTTGGTATATTAAAAACCGAAATTAACAGCTTTAAACATTGAATTATTAGTGAACGTTGCATGGTGACAGTATTAATTATGAACCGAGAAGGGTTTTAGATATGCGGAAATAAAACTATTCTGGCATATTGTACTTTTATCTGCGAAAAAATATGGATTTCGCAAATTTCACTGACAATTGGATTGATTTCACAATGCACACTCCAACTAACAAAAAAGCCTGGATAAACACCTGCATGGCCTCGATTATTGACATCGACATATCAGTTGACAGTTTCGACAAAGCGAATGAAAACACAATTGAATAGGCAAAACCAATCTTCTGATAGGTTCACAATATTCGAAAAAAATATGACAAATTGTCCTCTACATGACGAGAGAATGTGAACAATAATTTGAATCAGATATGTTCAAAAGTAACTCTTGTACAAAGAAACCAATTGGAAAGTTGGCGAATTAAGCCATATTAAAGCCAACAATATAGGTAATGCAAAAATTACAACCCAAAAAAAGCTCAGCGATTGAAGGAGAGAATGAGAGGGAGAGGGAGAGAGAGAGGGAGAGAGAGAGGGAGAGAGAGAGGGAGAGAGAGAGGGAGAGAGAGGGAGGGAGAGGGAGAGAAAGAGAGAGAGAAAGAGAGAGATAAAGAGAGAGAGAGAGATGAAAGAGAGAGATAAAGAGAGAGATAGAAAGAGAGATAAAGAGATAGATAAAGAGAGAGAGATAGAAAGAGAGAGATAAAGAGATAGATAAAGAGAGAGAGAAACAGAAACAATGAAAGAATATTGGAAAGAGAGGAGAAGGAAACATCAAAGGAGGGTGATGGCAAGCTACGCAGTACTAGGTCTCGGGTGTAGATCAACAACTACCACTAAAAGTCCTAACCTTTCTTAATCTCTTAAGTTAAGTGACAAGTTTTAACAGAATAAAGCTCGCCCGCATGATGCTACCATCAGTATGTTTTGAAGATATCGCCCTTGGCATGCTTCTATGATCTCTCCCCGATTGTGTGCATTCGGGAAAGGCTCAAGCGTGCACCATACGGGAATGTACGAGTATTGCGAGAAGTCTGGCTTCGTGGAAATAACTACCTCTGGATTATCAGAAAACACAAGGAGTCCATACCGGAACGTCTGACTTGTTTGCGCAAAGGAGAATTGATTGATTCAATATAAATGTTTCCGGGTGTGTCAACTGATGCATGCCATGTACCGGGAGGTGGCGGTGTTCCTTCCCGCAAAAGTGAGATCCAGCGCCAGCATATATACCGATTCGCGAGGTTTCTCCCCTCATGGGACAGCGCACAAGCCGCCAAGGACAAGCTCGAAGCTCCCTCATGAGTAGTAATGTAGTGTATGTGTATGTAAGGGGACAGAGGAACAGGAAGGTACGATCGCGCGCGGTCCGGGACCCGTTCGTTAGGTTACGGCCCCGCATTGGCGTGGTATTTGACAACAGAAACCAAGGAAATCTACCGATCAGAGAAGCTGGCCTCTAGAATTGTCTAGACAGTGGTCGTAAATACTGTCGAAAATTCGCCACCCTAAGGCATTGATCCCTAGGATCTCCCAGTCTGGGACAGTGAAGAGACAGTGGAAATGCTGATAAAAATCAGACGGTGCGCCGAAGAAAGTAGCCCTCTACGGCCAGACACACTACTTCATAACTTACGAATATGGCTCAATAAATAAAATCCATTTCGGCCCACGCCTTCAGTCATTTATTGCCACCAGGACTCCACCTTCGTTTCCAAATTCACTTCATTTCGACTACACCTTCCGGAAACAACACTTTTTCTTCTTAGAACGTAGGACTTGTAAAGGGAGAAGAAATGAAAGTTCCCTGTTTTTCTTGAAATTCGGGCTCTCTCGTCCTCGTGAATTACTTCTCAGCAGGGCAGGGCTAGAGGAAGAGCGACATCTCACGAACGTGGGCCATTAATCAGGTTTGGTGTCACTCGGTAGCAGACGTGGCGCATAGTACATGGCCTGCTTTCTTGGAAATCCATGCCCTTGATCCTTCTTAGAAGAAAATATATTATTTGTAATTCTCAAATTGAAATTCTGTTTTTTGACTGCCCATACGCCTAGAATATGTTTACAATTCGGCTCTCTTAATAATGTGACTGACATAAAACTCGTAAAAAAGTGTGATTTTCATTCTACAAAATTCGAAAAAATTGTTTACAGTTAAGAATTAAAATTGAGTTACCTTTAAGAACATCCAAGTTTTCAGGCATTTCACATTATATATTTTACAATCACTACCGTTGTTTGATAACGAAGAATGTTACAAAATTACCACGACATCCTTTCCATTGCAGAAACCTCGGGCAAGATTTTGTCTTCAGCTGAATGCAACAATGAAACAATCTTCCAATATGCGGAAATTAAACTAATGATTTTTAGAATAAGTTCGTAATTAAAAAGAAAACTTGCAAATGAATGTACGTTCAACAAAACCAAATTGGGTTCATTTCTATAAATATTTATTTTTGAAGCGTCTGAATCTCAATTAGGCGTCCCGCATTTGAAAATGCTGAATCGCAATCGAATCGTTATCAGCTGTGTCCAACAGACGACAGGCCGCAGGGGTAGATGCAATTCGACTGTTTTGTTTCCGTTCATTGTGAAAATAATTTTTTTCTCTCATAACAATTACTAGTAAATGACAAAAATCAAATACAAAAGATTGTACATATTCAAATTTACTCGATGAATATAAGATGCTTGCGGATTCCAAACTTCACTGTACCAAATTGAACAGGACCTCAATGTGAACTATACAACTTTGACTATACGTACGACGCTGTGGTTTTTACATGCAAGAAGATATATCCAAATAATGTTTCGGCCGCAATAGATGTCTGCGATTGACCCAGTATTGTCGGAAGAGCCGTGTTATAGGCAATACAAGTCAGCTCTCCAAGAAAGTAAACACTGAAAAAACAAAAATAACAAAAAACACAACAACAAAAACACAAAACAACAAAAAAACTTTGATTTCTTAAACAATTACGGAATGCACGATCTATAAAGTTGAATTAACTCACAATAATTCAATTAATCCTAGCGAAAGACTTTAACGTTTACAACTCTGTTCTTCTGATGAGCTTATAATCAGCTCTCTGTCTGATGAGCTTATAATACAGTTGTTCAGCATCACGTGGCTGAACAGTTCACGAGCACGTTCAACATCACGTGCACGGGCTTACGTTGCACGGTTACTCAGTCGCCTAATAATTCTAAAATATTTTCATGTGTTTGGAATTTAGCATATTTACTATTTTATAGTGCTCCGATACATGCAGACGCCCGTAGAGAAGAAAAAGAAAATGGACGGGAAAAGCGCTACAGCTGACCAGCTCCGGGACAGCACGACTGTACACGATATCCAGCGCCACGCCCATTTATGTTTCTAATTCAGAGACATGAGGAGTCTTCAATTGAAAGCGCAAGAAGGAGCGCTCCGATGGCTATTGAATCAAGCGCAGCACTGGTCCAGAATTTGCCATTACCAGCTTGTGCAACGCAAGTCATAAGAACTAGGAGTAGAACTTACCTAAAGAAATTCTTTGACATTTTTCATGTTGTGCAGCTGCATACAAAACTGAGATTTTACGTGTAAGAAAATTTTAAAATTATTTTTCTGAGAAAACGGAGGCGTTCGCTTAAAAGCGCGCGAACAGCCCCCCCCTTAGACTAGTTACACGCGCAATAATAGCTCGTTGTTCTGGCGCACTCTCTACATGCAAGCACAAGCAAAAGCGAAAGCAAATATACAGTAGTGAGACCTACCTTGAGACCTCCTTGAGTGTCCATCCAGCTCTCCAAAGAGTACACTTTTTACGAACAAGAACAGCCGATGGTGTATTATTCAGAGGAGAATGGGGTGATCACTCGAAAGCGCACGAACAACGTTACGAAGACAAGGCAATAACGCTTAGCACCATCCCGCCCACCGAACTTCTTTGAGCTTGGCAATTGCGCCTCACGAGGGACCTGAGCTTTAATGCAAACGGAATATCAGCAAGTCGCCGAAATATAATTCAAAGAAAAGTGTCCATGACGACTGACACATGAGACAACCAACAATGGAATTTTCCATTGCAATCAAATACAATTTCGTACGATCCCTTTCATTTGTCTCCGAGTACACGGGTAGAGAAGATTGCGTCATCAAACACGATTTCGCGCAATTGCCCGACACTCAGACGTGAAGCGCACCTCTAATGCCAAGCACGAAGTCGATCGGCGCGCGGTCTAGTTCGTATTTTTTTTTTTTTTTGGCGCACCCTGTACATGCAAACGCAAAGCGAAAGCAAATGGACGAGAGTGGCGCCTACCTTTACCAGTTCTTTGAGGCGCTCCCGGTTGTAGACGTTGCCGAGCTCCACGCCGAGCAGCCGGTCCAGCAGCTTGCTGATGGGGTAGGAGAGCGGGAAGGTGATGAGCATGACCATCTTGGTGATGTAGATGGTCTTGGCGCCGACGGCCAGCCCGTGGCGAGAGCACACCGCCTGCGGCGAGATCTCGCCGAAGACGACGATGGCGAGCGTCGAGCCCACGATGGCCACCAGCCCCGACGTCAGGTCGTCCAGCAGGATGGTGAAGGTGGAGTTGACGAGCACGTTGCCCAGCAGGATGCTGCACAGCAGGTAGTTGCCCATCTTGCGCACGGGCATGATGGCCTGCAACAGCCAAAACAACACGAGGATTATCTTAACCACCAACGTCCTTTAACATCGAATAACATATCCCAAGCATTCTTTACTAAAACGACTTTTCACCATTTATGAATTATCCACATTTTTTATATAAATTGGAAGAAAGTTAGTGCCGTATAATACATTATAATCATTTACATATTCTGTTAGAAAATATTTTAAAATGTTAAAAGGGCCATCCGAAAGGGCCTACGAAAGTCCTATATTACTGATTGAAAGACCATCAATACCGCGTTGGCACGCTCGTGAATAACCATTTGCATATAATGGTGTCGTTTTTTATGTCGAGTGTTTATTGTTTACTAGAATAATCGATAATCGAAGGTTGCAATGTCTAACACATAGTTTTTCATAGATACTTGCCAAAAACTCCTCTACGCGTATCTACCTACCCCTGTGTTCAGTTACATATACATTGCTTGTGAACACATTTTTAGAGCAAAAAACCTAGCATCTTTGTAAAGCATAGTAATATTTTGTATGACTTCTAGCAAAATTTGCTATCGACTAGACGCAAAGAGTGAACAGGAATGAAATGACTTCGCAGCACGCACCTGCGCGTAGCGGCGCTCCTGCTCGGAGCCCGTGTTGGCGACGATCTTGAGGTCGGTCTGGTCCATGGACATGAGGCCGAGGTTGAGCCCGGAGAAGAGCGCGGAGAAGGTGAGGCAGACGACGATGATGGTGATGGAGAGCCAGGTGGGCAGCAGCTTCTCGTAGGAGCGGATGGCGAGCCAGGGGGCGTTGCCCTGGTGCAGCCAGCGCTCGGCCGCCTCGCCCTCCGCCGCCTCCCCCGACGCGGGCGCGGGCGCCGGCGCCGCCACGGCCGCCGGCGCCGCCTGGGCCTCGTCCAGGGGCTCCATGACGCACACGTAGAAGACGCCGTCGTCGCCGTCCACCGCCACCGGCACCCGCAGCTGCACCGTCGCCGACCGCTCGTCCGCCGCGTCGGCCTCCAGCTGCGGCACACGCGCGCGCACGCACCCGTCAGCCCACCGCCGAATACTAGCGGCTTCGACATACACCGACTCCTGCATCAGCGCACGTCCAAGCACCCGCCCAATGCGTGCTTCGTCACACATGGAAGGACTCGCCCCTGAAAGGGCTTCTTACGCAGCTCACAGTGAGCATTTCTTACAACTGCTCTGTTGGGCTCTAGCAGGATCAAAAAAACTCGTCAATATCACTGTGCAAGTACAGGCAAATAACTTTAAATTTACGCGTATGCTTGTGTGACCTATACCTCTACTCCAAGGAAAGTGAAGGTCATTCTTCTACAAGTTCCACAAGGCCGAGTTGGGGTATGCATGTGACCTCAAAATGCCTTTTGTAAGGATAACACAGCAATTTCTAAATATTTTTGGAAAAGATAGAAGAAATTAACGGAAAGAAATACAAAGAAAGGGAAAGACGTCAGGAAAGAGGGAGAGGAGTGGAAGAAAGAGACGGGAAGAGGGTGGGACGCTGGGAGAAGGGGAGAGCGAGAGCGAGAGGAGAGAGAAGAGGAGAGAGAAGAGGAGAGAGAAGAGGAGAGAGAAGAGGAGAGAGAGAGGAGAGAGAGAGAAGGAGAGAAGAAGAGAGGAGAGCAGAGGAAGGAAGAGAAGAGGAGAGAAGAGGAGAAGAGGAGAGAAGAGGAGAGGAGAGAGAAGAGGAGGAGAGAGGAGAGGTGAGGAGAGAGGAGAGGAGAGGTGGGAGAGAGGAAGAGAGGAGAGAAGAGGAGAGAGGAAGGAGCGGGAGGGGAGGAGGGAGAGAAGGAGAGAGAGAGTGAGGAGAGGAGCAGAGAGGAGAGAAGGTGAGAGAGGAGAGGAGAGAGAGAGGGAGAGGAAGAGAGGAGAGAGAGAGAGGTGAGGAGAGGAGAGGAGAGGAGAGGAGAGAGGTGAGGAGAGGAAGAGGAGAGGAGAGAGGTGAGGAGAGAGGTGAGGAGAGGAGAGGAGAGAGGTGAGGAGAGGAGAGAGGAGAGAGGAGAGGAGAAGACAGGAGAGGAGAGGAGAGGAAGAAAGATCACTCACAAAACTCAGTTTGCAACGCCAGGTTACAACAGCAAAACATCTACATTGTTTATAAAAACAAAGAACACACAATTGGCAACCACACGCAGAGTCCAAGAAAAGAAACAAAATAGAGAGCGTGTACAGGGACTCGGCGGCCAAAACCGTAGAAAATGGAAAAACCACCAGTCTTTTGATGTGTCGCGTCAAACAATAAAAACAAAAGGAGCCCCGAAATACCTGGCATCAAAGACTACTAATACCTTTAACAAAAGAATAAAAGAGATTGTTGGGAATCTGTTTGGCCCCTTTCAACGTGGCTGCAAAGAGGAATCCTACGAGAAAATAATTAACTTTTCGCCAAGTTCAAGACGACTCCCTTCCAACCCCCAGCTACAGAAGGAGAGACGAAGATTAACATTAATTTATCGGGGACACAAAATATCTGTAGATCGCCTACTCTCCCACTTCATGGGACTCCGAAATAAACAGCTGCAACGTCATGATAAAGGATTCTGAAGCACGGCGTGCCTAAATAGTAAACTTAGAACACCACGTCTTCTAATCTCAGCAAACAAACTATTCTCAACGATGGATTGGCACAGGGGCTCGTATGGCTTGTGTTGAAATGGTTACGGCTCGTTCTCTTACAAGTCTCTGAAAGCCTAGAAGTCAAACATTCACATTGACTCATCACACGGTGTCATGAACGGATGTTTACTTTTAGATGAAGGCTTCTGTGAGGAAAACGCTGGGATTTTCAGCGTCTTAGGGGTAAATTTACTACGACACACATCAGCCGAAATGCATTTAGAAGAGATCTTAAATTCTGATGCAATCGTAAAATCTGGTACGTAAAGTACCAGAACTCCTGACCATTCATATATACTTCGTACACATACGTACAAGACGATTTTGTACAAAACTTTTTGGCGCCCTTAGCGTCCCTTAGGATTGGGAGACATCGATTCCCACCCCCTGAGCCCTGAAACAGATGAACCTGAACTCAAACGACAAACATCGAGGGGAGATTCCGGAGCGGTTACGAAGCTCAAATGGTCCCATTAGCATATTCCCCCCAAACTCCTCGTTTGAGCGGATATCACGTGGAGTTCTGAGATAATCAAAAGTAAATTAAAAACATATTGGAACAGCGCAAGCCAAATTATACTCTCTTTCTATGCAAAATATTGTGCGTACATTTTGTGGGTACGTAATTACGAAATACCCGGTGCAATATTTACCTTGCGGTGTCCTGATCCAAAGAATTCATTCCGCTTTCATAAGCAATAACTTTTAATATGGGCCATCACAAGTGCCCACTTATTTTAAGCGAGTACTTACTGCTGAAGAATTTGTATATTAAATAACTACAATGAATTCATCCCCTACGAAACCTGTCACGAGAGAAAGAGGGGGAGGGGTGGAATTTCACTGCAAATCAGGTGTTTGCGAGATGGAGAATGTATATCAACATGTAGAGCAAAGAAGTTCTGTAAATTTCATCGATCCGATACTATGGTAGGCAGACATGAATCGATCCGCAACTGTGAACGAATGAACAATGACCACATATGTAGGCAAGTGTTAGATCTTAGAATATTGGGCATTATTTTAATGAAACTGAAAATAATCTTTGCTATGTAATCAAGAAAGAGTAGTGAATTTCAAAACGTTTCCCTCTTTAGAAGTGCACCGATGAGCTGCAAACATGAGCATCCAATAAAGAAATAGTTAATAATGAAACTAGGCCGCGAATAACCTTGCGCACGTGTTGCGTATACTATTTTTTTCACTGCGCGGCGTGTACGAAAGAGGATTCCCATACGCTTCCCCATGTCTAACGCATTCTTCATAATGTTTCGCGTACTATTAGAACGACAAAAAAAAATAGTTGTTTCGCACACGGGAAACCAACACGATAAAGTGTGGCGTCGTTAACACGAGGGCCAGAACCGTTAGGTTGGTGAAAGTACGCTGCGGGGGAGGAAGGGGTTGAGCCTGAACATCCGGAGTTTGCGCTCGGGCGGTTGACTCAGGTAGTGCCGCAGAGCCAAAAATACCGGAGGCTGTAAACTCCGAGGATGCTGCCGGCGAGCCTCGTTTACGGAAGCAGGCAGCCAACCTGAGAATTCTGTGTGTGGGCGTAAACCAAAGGCTGGCCTGCGAGCCTCGCGCCAGTGCGAGTCTATCTATGGAACAGTGGTGGGGGTGTCAGCCTCAACTATTTAACGCGGCGCCATCTGCGCCCGCGTTCTCATTCAGTTTGCATCGGGTAGCTTGTACGTGTATGTACAAGGAGGGTGTAGGAGTAAGGGCGAGATGTCCGGAGAGTAAGGGCCAGACAATCTCACGTGCTGTAGGCACACGGTCGCCACGACCGGATTAACTTTTGGCGTCAGGCCATGTGACGGTAATTGTCACGGGACAGAGGTCCGACGGCGCGCATCACGCGTGGCTTGTATTTTCTGCGGTAAAGCAGTGTTCCGAAAGGAAAAGGTTGCCGGAGTGTTTTAATATTAGCAATTCATTGTAACTTGTACATAATCTTCGAATATATTATTTTTATTTTGTTATTGAAATTTATTTCTTATTTCACTACGTCACAAAAGCATGCTTCGCGCACGGTGGGTTATAAAATATCTTTTCACACTCCTACGCATGCCGCGCCAGTTTACAACATGGCTTTCGAGACAGTCGTTTTACGCCAAAAACCTGTGGCTTTATTGAGCAGTAAAGCATGACACGCTCAATTACTACGGCCGGTGACCGAGAACTAGGTCGTGACAACAAACTCTAGCTGATCGATGCATTCCTCCTCGTGAGTCAGAGGTTGTAACAGACAAAACTGATTGACGGAAACGCTCCAAATACGCCGTAAAAGTAAATGCTAACTACTTTCGGTTCCATTCTGTTTTCAATAGCAAATAAAGTAGGGGTTTATGTGACAAAAAAAAGCATTACATATTAGTACATCACTTAATTTGAAATACGCCAGGGATAGGATCCATAATAAAAGTTTCGTCATCACAGAAATAAAATAATGAAGCATTTCGAAAATTAGTCTGGCCACACCAAGATGCTATACCAATTGAATTGATGATTTTAAAAAGGGAAATACGCCATTGTTCTACAGTTCCGAGAGAGAGAAAAAGAAAACTTAGGGTCGTCGACACGTATATGATAAATAAACACTTAAGTAATAAAGCATTTACTTGAAATAAGTGACTTCTTATGAAAGTTTCGTATTCATACACCCCACTTATTCCAGAGTCGCACTCAGGCAATATTTCGCTACTTAATATTTGGCAACATGGCCTTATTGATTACTAGATACGAATCTAGAAGGCAGTGTCAATTTTGTTTACTATTTTTCCGGTTCTTTTACGCGTATGAATAGCATCTGAAGGCAGTGTCAATCTGGTTTGATCGACAGACTATCAACAGAAAATAAATTATAAATTTCGTTTTGCTGCTTCGATGCGTTAAGTCCTGTTCGGATAATTGCTATTGGTAGAATTTTCCGATATTACGTGATTAGGAAATATAATTAGTGGCGTACGATATTTGTACAACACATGAAGGGAATTTTATGAACTCTTTAATATTTCGTGATACAACTTCAAATATTTCTGTAATGATTCTACAAGGGGGCTGACTTATTCTTTAGAGATCTGCACTTATCAAAAAAAAAAAACAAACACCTTTTCATATGATGCGTTGCAATCACCATTGTATAAAACATGGTCCTCGTAGGATAACCTACAAAATACGCCTCGGTGCGGTAGCCTGCAATTGAAATTAATAAATTACGTAACTGAAATGATGATGTTGCATAAAATCTGTGTGCCATTAAAATTTTTAGGACTGGTGGTAATGGTTATCCTCTATTCCTCAAGCCCACGCTGTAAGTGAGCATCAGAGATACTATTATTTACAAGCAAAGCGATCTCGTCTAAAATTCGTCTTGCCTATGCACTTCCAAATGATTTTACAAGTCTCTCAAATATTGTTTTGTTACTCGATCTGCCGTATTGATTTCAATAATTCCAAAAACTCATAAAAATCTTTGATGTTATTTCACGTTGAAAAAT